TTTCATAATCAAACGGAGACGGATAGGGAGACGCAGGAGGTCTACAGAAGAAGGTGAACAGAACAGCGATGAGAAACGGTGAGAAGAGAGGGTGAGGACGCGACGCCGGCGCGAGAGGAACTCCGTAGGTCAAGGTCGCGGCAGGTGGCATCGAGCCCCGTGGTACAGCCCTGAAGCCCCGCTCGACCGACAGAAAGCTTCGTGCAGGACGATCTTCGCCTCTCTGGAGATCGATATGGCCAGTGAGCCAGCAAATGGTGCAGGCAAAACAGGCGGCGAGCCTCCTGCAAGGGCTCCTAGCCAGGCTTGTGTGGATCGATGCCCAACCCTGACTAACCCTTTAACCCATTGACTTATAATAACGAGTCACGGTGTAGATCATGGTCAAGATGTGAAAAGAAATATCGCACTTGTAACGAACCTATTTAAAGGGACAAAAAGTTCTCTAGTTCAAAAAATATCTAGATGAGAAGTACGATACTTTCAAAATCATAAGTTGCCATATTTCTGTCGGTAATGTAAAATAGCTGTTTGACAACTATTAGAATCCTGGACGGTCAAAGGCCACGTTGGAGCAAGTGGACACAAGTAACGGTAGTTATCGATAGCCGTTTGACAACTATTTTAGTATACATAAAAGAAAATTGAAGATTTAAATGTTTTTTAAATTAGGAAGGACGAGACTGGTTTCAGAGCACAAAAATTAGATTGTACTCCAAATTTCACCCCATCAAAAATTTTTTTTATTCGATTTCTCTCTTGTGGAGCGCAGTTTCATAGTAATGAAGAAGTCGAACGAATGTCCAATACTGACGAAGTCTTCAAGACAAGAAATTCTACATTAAAACGACCTCTTGTTGTAGCTACACCATAATTTTTTAAGTACCTCATGTACGATTAGCGACGATTCTCCTACAGTTCAGGCTGTTATAACCCAATTGTTTCTTCACTGTTGAACACAATTATCGAGGAATTTTTCAATGGACTCTCCCTTCTTTGTATTCTTTTGCCTATCAACTCTATTTAACAATTTTTCCTCTTCTTTGTGTCACCTGCTGTCGATCCATCGTGTTTCTCTTCGTTCTATCGTTACTTCCTGTTTTTCGATTTTCTTATTTTATTCGGTGGTTGGTTATATGAACGGATGGGTTCATGTTTTGGACAGAGGGAAGGTAGCTTTGTCGGAAACTGATTTTTAGCGTTCGAACGGGGTAGACCACGTTTGACGGATTTTCTGAACCGTCCACAGCCTCCTTTTTCTTTCTAGCGCACCCTTTGTCCAACGTTTCCTGCTTTATGACTCCTCCGTTCTTTCTTCCAGAACGCTTTACCGTTCGCTGGATCCTAAAGGACTTTTAATTTGACGTTTCGCGTCGTACTTGCGGATGGACTGGGTTTTATCGATTCGCTTCCGGTGACTTTTCGTTGTGCCATTCCTTTGGTAGAACTTTTATTAACCATTTTCATCTGTTCCAGAATATCGACACTTAGTAGTGAAATTAGCTGGAGGATTTTGATACCCTGCATTTATCTGAGGTAATCTTCAATTTTATAGATGAAAATTAATGTCACAACTTATAGCATATTTTATGACAAATTTTTTCATTGTTCCAATACTGTGTTTAACGAAAGAGGTTAAAATTTGTTAACTAAAAATCGAGATTACACTTGAGAAATGATTTTTATGAAAAATACAAATTTTCTTTGATGCGTTTAATTATTTTTCTATTAGCTACACTTAAAAAAATGTAACTCAGTATTATGGTATGTAACGAAGTTTTCTGAGCTTAATAATTTATTGTGGTGGAATTCAAGGCAATAAAATGTCCTTTCTCAGATACATTAATTGAAATATATTTTAAGAAAAATATTGAAAGCACTTGAAATTTAAAAAACCACGTCGAAGGTAAAAAGTTCCGAATAT